CTCTGTTTGAACTGCAGGAGATTGTCTTGACCATGTCTACATGCCTAAATGCACTGAGTTGCCGCCATGTGATTGGCTGGTTAGAAATGAAGTGTTAACGAGCAGTTGGACAGGTGTACCTAATAAAGTGGCCGGTGAGTGTATATACATAATATAATTTCTTCAAATAAACGAGAAACTAATCTGGATAATGTAGGCTTTCATGGTGTTAGCTGAATATCTTGGATTTTAAATTATGAAGTATGTGAATCGTGGATGGAAAAGCCCTGGTAATGAAGCAGAACTGTACACATTACATTACAATTTCAAAATATCTATATCTATGTCGAAACTATTAAATATGAGAACTCAAATAGATCATTTCATAAATATCAACAAATGCATAAAAACATTTTTTTTTAATGTATTTTCAAACTCGATTGAAGTTGTGCCTTTTTGTCAACACCGTCATATATTTAAAGAATCTAAAAAAAAAAAAAAGGAACAAACAAAAAAGGCATAAATGGGGCATAAAAATCCCTGAGGACCCCGGACCCCTTCATTCATCCTTCTTTATCGCTAGCAGGGTTAGCCAGCTCTGGAAAGCTTATCTTATTGTTTTCTTTTTTTCTTTTTAGGTTGTACGTCACAACCATACTTTGTCAATATCATAACTGAAAATTTGCAAGAGGAAATTTTGAAAAATAAATGCTTTATTATAGTGTACTTCAAAGTTTATTAGCAACTGATGATTTACAAAATGGCCTCCTTTGGAATAAAATTGTATACATGGAGGTTAGGGGTGTAAATCAAAACCGTCATGGCGATTAAATTCAGTATCATTTTCCTGACCCAATGATTTGATTATTTTAGATACTCAAGAATACACCACAATACGATGTTAAATGTTAAAATTTTAAATTGTAACTTTCCCCTTTTCTATGAATGTTCAGTCTTATTGATATGTATATAATATTTGTCATCTGTCAAACATGTTTATGAATTTACATTGTATACTGTATTTTAATGATGTGGATCCCAGGAAGAGTAGCTGGGTGTAAAGCACAGCTAATGGGGATCCTAATAATAAATAAACAAACAAACGAATACGATACGATTAATTGGTAATTTTTTTTTTTTTTTTTTTTTTTACTTACAGGCTAGACAATGTTTAAAATTTGAAAAAAATCACTGAAAGCTGTAATATCATAACGCATTTTATTTGAGAAACAACAGCAAATAACAGAAGTAGCAAAGTTGAACCCCACCTAGGCCTATAAAAACCTCATTCACTGAAAAATAATAATCCCTCTGTAGGGATGGGAATCATAAACCGGTTCCTGTTCAGAACCGGTTCCGTATTTTACGATTCCATGGCATCGTTTGGCAGCTCGCTGAACGATTTTTTCGATTCCCGCAG